GGTGGCCTGGCAGGACCACCGAGGCCGGCAGCACGCCGAGCTCACCCGGCAGGGCCCTGTGCTCCGAGGGAGATGGAGAAATCTCCCTCCAGAGCCCATCACTGGAACCTCCTGCCCCAGGCACACAGCAGCCCCCAGCTCTGGGGTGCAGGGTGGGTGGCTCCAGCCTCGGGGAGCCCAGCTTAGCCCCAGTGGGAGCCACATTGGTCTCAGATGCAGTTTTTCCCCCCTCAGCACCAGCACCCACCCAGACAAGGGACCACCAGCAGCCCCACCGCCCTCCAATGTCCCCTCAGCGAGCTGGCCACCGGGCCGCAGCGTCTCCCTACCTGGCTCTCCACCAGCATGGCCATGTCCATGAACATGTCATGCAGCTCTCGGATGCTGTTCTCGAGTTTGATGATCTCGCTGTGCCGTGTCTCGATCTCGTTCAGCGCCTGCTTAGTGATGTTTGAATCCATAATGATCTGCAAGAAGACAGGGCCACTGAGCACCGTGCTCAGTCCCTCAGATGCCAAGATTAGGGGCACCAAGAGAGGGAAGAGCAGGAGCCCTGGAGCCCCTCCAGCCACCCAAGCCAGGCAGTTTGCAGCAAAACCCCACCCCACCCTCCCGCCAGGACGCGGCCCCTGCTCAGGCAGCATCTTCAGGCCAGACCAGAGCACCCAGGTCCCACCTCCTGCAGGGACTGTGCTCATCACTCCTGTACTTGGGCCACCGTGGCAGCACGTCCACCAGCCAACGGCCCTGGGATGAAGGGGCTGGCTCAGCTTTAGCTTGTGCTGGTGCTTACCCCGGAGGAGAAGATGGCCGGGTTGCCGCTCTCCAGCATGTCCTCCAGCTCCTCGCTGGTGGTGGTCCTGCCAGCTGCAAGTGACACAACATGGGTCAGCCGTGAGCCCCTTGTGGCTCTTCAACAGGTCCTGGACCCACGGGTAGAGGCAGAAGTCCTGTGTGAGGGCGGACTAGACAACTAAGACCTGTTAGTGCCCCCAAAGCCCTGAAAAGGTGCTGCTTTGCAGCAGGAGAACAACCTGACCCGTGTCTGTAGCCCGCAAGAGCTCAGTGCAGCCTGTTCATAGCTGCAGGTGAGCCCTGAGCTCTGCCATCTGCACGCTCATGGGTCTAAGGAGCTACATAATGAAAACATCCCCTTGGGTTGATCACCCTCCCCACCTTCCCCAGCTCTGGGGAAGGGTCCACAGGCTGTTTCCAGCCACCGTTAACACGTTTTAGGATGACAGAGCATCACTCCCAGCAAGGGTGACCCGCGACACCCCCTTGCCAGCTCCTCCTGCTGCCCGTTGGCTCCTCACTCTTAGCTGAAACTGCCCTGGTTCCAGGAAGGGAGGACAAGGGCTTGAACAGCCAAAATTTACAAACTCTCCTGTTGACTGTGCTCAACTCCGAGCAGTCACTGGCACAGCGGCGAGGAGGACCGTGCCAAGCACGGTGCATCAAGGGCTGTTTGCTCTGCCCAGTTCAAGCCCTAGAAACAGCCCCGAGGGCAAGCAGTGCAGTCAGCTCCAGGAGATGCTTTGTCTCTCGCAGGCAGAGGGATGCAGGATACACGTTCTCACCCTGACTCTCACCGCCTCCTCGCTGCCACTGCCCCATTCCCCTACGGCAGAGCACGGCGATGGTAAAAGCTGCGTCGAGGTGAAGGATGAGAGCAAAGACATCACGGGGATTAACAACCAGGCAGCCAGTGCAGGCTTGGCCAAAGGCCACAGCTAGTCAGGAAGAGCTTGCTTTAATGCTGAGCCAAAGCACGAGGCCTGGAGGCTGCATCTCGCCCACGCCGTCCAGCACAACGCTTGCCAAAGCTGTATAACCAACCTGCAGGACCCCAAAGGACTTCCCAGGGAGTCCACCGCCTTCTGGTCAGCCTTCCTGGTTTGGGAAGGCTGTCATTAGCTCCTTGACAGTGATGAAATCAGATGAAAGTGTGCTAGATACTCGGTTGATCTGCTGCCCGCTTCATCACAGAGCTACTGCACAGCCACGAACGGGAATGAAAGGACTGAGCCGACGCAAGGTGACCACAAAGGGAGAAGAACCTGGGGGAAAACCCCTGCCCTGAAACTTGGCAAAACACTGGAAAATCATGACAACTGGACCTCTGCCTCCCCAGAGAGCTCCAGAGTACATCTGCCTCTTACTTGGCATCTCTAGAAATTAAAGTTTCCTGGGGAGAAAAAACTCTGCCAACGAGCAAAGCAGCACAGAGCATTGCTGGGAGCTGCAGCACAGAGGGAGAAGCAAACTCAGCCCTGAGCTGGCAAGGAGAGAACAGCGAGAGAAGATGAACAGGTCATAGTGCAGCGGGGCCATCAGAAGCTCTGGGACAGGCAGCCACGAAGCCACCGAGGAGACTTTCCACCTCAAGGCCACCGCACAGTTCTTGGCCCAGCTGGACGGAGCGACCGTCCCCATCGACCAGCTCCCAGGGGATGGGGCATGAGGAGGGCCTGGGGAAGCTCCCAGGGAAGACTCCGGTACCACAGCTCACAGCCATCACCCAGCTGACGCCGAACGCCGGTTTGCCCAGTTCTGCTCGCCAGACACTCTATAAATAGGGAAGACTTCAGGCGCCTCGGGGCTGCAGAAGTCAAACACGCCACGGCCGAATGAATTGTAACGGCTCAGCTGTCCCCCTTGGGCTTGCAGCACCCCTCCTTCTGGCAGCAGGGCTGCACGAGCACCCACCCAGCAACAGCCAGGGGCTCGGCTTGGAATCACCGAGGACAAGGCACCTTCCCAAGGCTGGGATCCTCCATCTGGATCTGGCTTTCAAGCTCTCATTAGACACAAACCCGTACAACTCACGGATAGCGCTGCCCTGGCTGCGTGTCGAGGTAATGGTACAAGTGACCCGACCCACCCGGCCATCCCCCAGCTCGGACAGGTCTAGCACTGCCCGTTAGTGGTGCCAGGAGGAGCAGACTTCAGCTGTAAAAGCCTGTCACAAACTGCCATCCGCCTCCCCGTCCCTCAGGACTCCTGCTCAGCCGGGAGGGGCTGCGGGGGCCAACCCTCAGCGCTGCGCAGGCGTTTTCAACCAACACTTCTTTCAGCTCAGATAAATCCCGGAGTCATTTCGGACAGGTCTAGCACTGCCCGTTAGTGGTGCCAGGAGGAGCAGACTTCAGCTGTAAAAGCCTGTCACAAACTGCCATCCGCCTCCCCGTCCCTCAGGACTCCTGCTCAGCCGGGAGGGGCTGCGGGGGCCAACCCTCAGCGCTGCGCAGGCGTTTTCAACCAACACTTCTTTCAGCTCAGATAAATCCCGGAGTCATTCCTGAGGTGAAAGTGTCACAGGAATCCTAAATAAACTCATCTCAGCCCTGGGGGATCCGGGATCACCCAGGGCTGCCTGGAGGAGCCGCCGGGACCGGAGCAGCCCCCAGACTCTCCTGGCTCGAGGGGGGCTTGGGGAGCCCCCAGAGCTTGCCTTTCTGCACATCCATTCACCTGGTCTCGCACAGTGGGGCGGGGGCTGATTAATTCTCACAGCGCCTCTGGAGACGGCAGATGCTTTATTTTTGGCTCCTCGGTCTCGCACGTAACAAAACTGTTCGTAAAAACAAGCAGCGTCTGTGCAGCACCTCTACGGCTTCAAAGCTGTACACCCACCACAGAAAAGCTCCTCCGAGCTTCAAATCCACCTTCTCTGGGAGCAAAACCTAATTAGATTGAAGATGTCATTTCTCATAACGGACAAAACGGGAAAAAAACGGAAGGAGCGATACCTCCCATCACAGGCAGCGCGGAGGCTCGTGCCTGGGGAGCACAGCTCCCAGCAGCAGACCCG